GGGGCGGGGGCGGGGGGGGCGCTTACCGTGAGCCGAGCGGCTTGGCCTGACTGGAGCCCTGAGGAGGAGGAGAAAGAGGAGGAGGAGAGGGAGGAGAGGGAGGAGCGCGGGTCGAGCGCCGCAGCCGCCCGGCTCCCATCGCGGAGAGGGCGGCCGGGCGCCGCGCGGGGGAGGGGGCGTCGCAGCCGGCGCGCTGCCTCATGGGTAGGCTCCGGGTCAGCTTCGCGCTCCGTGCTCCTTATCTTCCCGGTAACGCGAGGCGGGAGCAGGCATGTGCACCGTCGAGGGCCAGCCGAGCGTCGTGGCCGGCAGCAAGCGAGGCCTGAAGAGTGGACGGAGAAGAACCTGGGCCTTTGTCGTCGCTCGTTTTATTGTTTTGCTGCACCAAATAGTTTTGTTTGGATCTCTTTTTCAATCCTAACGCGGCCATCTGAAAAATAGACCACCATAACTTGAAAAAGGAAGTGTGTGCGTGTGCGTGTAGTGTATCAAGCAGTGGGGATAGGAGTTGTCTGCCTATTACCCACCAGGTGTTTGGGTGATTCAGTCACAGTGTTAGGAGGCCTTTTATGGGCTCCTGGTTAAGGGTGTTGCATCCTTAGTTGATGGGGGTTCAATAAATCCTCACGACTGGTATTTTTGATACACTTTTAATATGTTCATGTGCCTGTATGTTCCTAATCTACTTCGGTAAGTTTACAGGGGCTGCCTTTTCTACTTACATGACTAGGTTATTTATCAGTCTGCCTCATGATGGTATCTCTGTGTACAAATAAGATGCAGTGTCATTCTGCTTCTGCATTTGACAAGATGGAGCTAACCAAGGCAAGGCACAGCCTGATCATCATAGAAAATTTTCTCTGAGATTGTCCTCACAAGATCAATGACAGTAGTGGTCCAACTCTCAAGAGTAAAACAACACTGAATTCTTGTCTCCCACATCTTTAACTTCCACATCTATTAGTCAAAAACCAAGTCTTTCATCTTCCACTTCTATTAGTCAAAAACCAAGTCTTTCATATCTGTCTTCCTACTTGAATTAAGTTTCAAATAGGAGTTGTCAAACAGGATAGCTCCCAATATTTGTAGGCAATTGTCATTGCTGTAATCAACTTACTGATTACCTTTACAAATTAATCCCCCCCCCAAAAAAAAACATGAATTTAGAGACCTGGCATAGTGACCCACATTCAGGAGGAAAGATCATTTCTCTTCAATTCTCATAAATCTATGATTGATTTAGGCCCCTGTATCAAAAGAACAATTAACAGAATAGCATGCAAGTTTACTTGCAGTACATGGGATAGAGGAAAAATAGCAAAAAGTAATTCAAGGCAGTAGTTTAAAACTGATTTACATAGAGACTCTTTAACAAAGAACAATAAGTTTGTGGGAAAATGACAAAACAAAGGGAAACAATTCCAGGCTCCAAAGGTGGGAAGTTGTGAGAACATAAAGATGAGTGTGATAGACTAAGATTCGTTTGTAGATTTGTCTGATAGTCAGAGGTGTTCCCCTATGAAAGACTTTGAATCCTGGGACTGGAGAGATGGTTCAGGGATCAAGAGCACTGACTGCTCTGCAGAGGACCTGGGTTCAGTGCCCAGTACCCACATGGCAGCTAAACCATCCATAACTCCACTTCCAGGGGATTTGACACCCTCTTCTGGCCTCTGGAGGCTTTGCAGGACATGGGTGCACTTACATACGAGCAGACAAAATACACATTAAAATTTTTAAAAACTTTTTAAAAATAATTAAAATCCTGTCTTTTTAAATTATCATTATTCCAATGAGAGGCAATTTTTAACACATTTCACATTTTTCCAGAAATAATTTGAAGCAGGTTACATAAAAATATGTATACAAGTAAGTTTAAGAGGGGAAAAACAGGAATAAGAAATCAAGGCCCAAAGGATTTGCCAACATGGGGTCAACTTTGGCCTAATATTGAAGGCTTCCATTAGCTCTGTTTTTTTTTTTTTTTTTTTTAAATCCTAACAGTTTATTGGGCTTGCTAACAGAGAATACGGTGGGGAGTTTATTTACAGAAGAGTGAGCACAGCCTCCCCACCACCCCAATTTATGGCTGTACTGGAAAGTCCACACTCAAATACAGATCCTATGACTTCCTAACAGCCACACAAAATGGTGAGAAAGGTGCCTCAAGGTGTTCTTGGCTTATTTATCCTTAGCCCCTCCTCCACATGCAGCTAAGGTCACCTGATTGGGTGGGAAGGGTAACTGACTACCCCCTTGACTTAGAATCCTGTCTTTCAGTAGAAAGGAGGACAGATGAGAGTGCTCTTCCTCTGCTGCTTCTTAAGCGTTTTTAGCACTAACATATGTATGTCAAAAGTGGCATATTTTGAGAAACATAGTCTAGTTTACTTATAGATAGCTATGACCTACTCTTGTCCCCACTGGTCTTGAAATGGTTTTTTCCTTCTGGCCTGAAAATAAGCTTTATAGGGAAAGTCAGAAAATAATCAAAATAGCTATCAGGAAAAGTGAAAAATTCCTAAATCTTGAAGCATTCTTCACTATAAAATTTTATTTTTTTATTGTGTGTGTCTGTGTGTCTGTGTGTAGGTATATGTGCAGGTGAGTGTCAATGCCTATGGAGGCCAAAGGTGTCATATCCCCCTGGAGCTGGAGTTATAGGCAGTGCTGAGCCACCCACAGTGGGTGTGAATTCAGGTCCTCTGCAAGAGCAACAAATGCTCTTATTCATTAAGCCATCTCCCCAGCCCTTTGAAGCATTCTTTTTTGTATTTTGGGTTTTGAGTTATTATTATTATTATTATTATTATTTTGGTCTTTTTGAGACAGGGTCTCCATGTGGACTCAGCTGGCCTGAACTCACTATGTAGACCAGGCTGGCCTCAATCTCACAGAGAGATCTGCCTGCCTCTGCCTCCCAAGTGCTGGGATTAGAGGCATACACCACCATGCCCTGCCCTTGAAACATTCTGTATTCTGGAGCCCAGTTCTTAATAAATTTAAATAGGGAAATGATTTGTCCATGCAGGAGCATACCTCTCAGCCAGGTGTGGTGGCACACACCTTTAATCCCAGCATTTGGAAGGCAGAGGCAGGCAGATCTCTGAGTTCAAGGCCAGCTTGGTCTGCATAGAGTTCCAGGCCAGCTGGGGCTACAGGGAGACCCCATCTCAAAAAGATTAAAAAAAAAAAAGAGAAAGCATGCCTCTTACCTCAAAGAGGATAAGAGATAGTTTATTCTGGGGCCAAGAATAAGTGACCATGGCTCCAGAACACAGATTCGGGTTACCCCAATTCCATGTTCCAATGTGGGAACAGTTTCAAAAAATTTTTATAGTAACAGAACAAAAAAAAGTCATCAATCAAGACACTTTCAAATGCATTGGTGGAAAATTAAGCAGGGATATACAGCAAAAGAGAAATCTCAGCTATAGACCTCAGATACCATCTGATGATACTAAGAGTTTTGATTGGTGGAAGCTGGTGGTCTTCCAAGTTAATACATTCCAAAAGGTTTTTATCTGTTAGTCACAAGATGTCAAGTCGGAAACAAAGGTGGCTAGCAAAGGGTGGCTACTTAGAGGGTTAAAGATAGCTAGAGATGACTCAAGATAAATGGTAAGTAAGTTCCAGACTCTTCCACAATCACATTTTCTAATCAGTTCATCAGCCTTTGTAGAATGTTCAGTTTAAGATGCAGTTTTTCTGGGAACTTCATTCATAGATTCATGCCAGTTAAACTTACTAGGAACTGATATAGACACCAAAATTCCCATTTATTTTTTTTCCCCATGGAAAGATGCGTTTGAAGACCAGATCAACTTATTTTTGTTCAAAAGGAACATTTACAAGAGAAGCACAAGTTACAAGAATGGAACTACCACACAGGAAATCATTTGGATTACTGAATTCTTAAAACTCCTTGGGGGCGGGGGGGGGGATGGAGAGATGGCTCAGAGGTTAAGAGCACTGGCTGTTTTTGCAGAAGACCTGGGTTCAAATCCCAGCACCCAAATGGCAGCTAACAACTATCTGTAACTCCAGTTCCAAGGGATCCTACACCCTCTTCTGACTTCTGAGGGCAATGCAGGACGTACAGACAAGCAGGCATAACACTCATACACATAAAAATAAAATTTTTAAAAATCCTTTTTGGGTTCTAGTGGTTAGTGGCAGTGGTGCACAAGCCTGAGATACAGCTTCACAGCACCACCTGTGTTACCCTGAGAAGTCGTTTTCAGAACCCTCTACTCAGGTGAAAATGGGATATTTCATTTTGCCTCAAAATAATTTCAGGATAAGCCAGTATGAAACAGAATTGGAGTTTATTAAGAGGAAAGGTTTCTTGGGATTTTTTTGTTTGTTTGTTTCTTTCTTTTTCTTGAGATAGTGTCTCACCATGTCATCACAGCTGGCCTGCAATTCACTACGTAGACCAGGCTGGCCTGGAACTACCTGCCTCTGCTTCCTGAGTGCTGGGATTAAATGAGTATGCCATCATGCCCAGCCTTAGGAAGAAAGTTTAACACATATTTAAGCATGAGAATTAAAAGAAAGAGAAGCACAAAGGAAAAGGATAATATGTACTTCGAGGTCCAAACTCTAATGTCAGGAAAGGAGGAGGGCCAAAAGGCCCAGAGGTTGAAGAAAATTGGAGGAGTTGCAGACTGATAAGACATACTTCATTTACTAGCACACAGGCATCTAGGCATGCACACGTCACCACACACAAACAGGCACAGGCACACATGTAGACCTACATTACACAGTCTTACACACACACAGACAGGCCGGCCAAGGTGACGGCTAAAGCCAAGGTTCTGGCCTCAAGGTCGTATGTATACAGAATTACACAAAAGTGGCATTCTGCCAGGAATAGTTCTAAGCCATTAATCACTGTTTACTTTGGTTTTCCCAGACATCCAGGTTTAACCATTTTGTGCTGACTCATAATGCTCCCATCTCCCACCCTACCCCATGTTAGAATTAGCCATCATAGTGGCCCACGCGGAATATCTATATCTATATTGGTGGCATGTTTGTTAAACATAAGCTGGCCCACACAGCCCACTCCCACGCATACCCAAGAGCAAAAGCACAGACCTCTCAAAGCGGTCACAGTTGCCTTTAT